AATGGCCATTGTGGATGGTGACAATGCTTGCCTCCACTCCCTCCTCCCAGGTTGCCAGCCCCCCCAAAAAAACTACTCAGTTGCATTATCCTTTCTTCTTTGCTCTTCAGCTGCACCTTACAAGCCATTTCAGAGTTGGGCAGTGAGGGCTTGATGCCTTCAGCTGTGGGAAAAGAGGAAGAGGAAGAAGAGGTGATAGTGGTACTTTTTAATGAAACTAAAAACAGGTGTACATGAGATAAAAACACTGTGGAATTTGAATGTACACAGAGAAGAGAAGTTATATTTACAGGTGTCTAAATATTTCTTGAAGGGTGGGTGGGGGAACTCCAGTGTTGGCATTAAAGTCAAAGCCACAAGCTAAAACAGACCCCATTGGAACAGTGCTTTCTGAGCCATGTATCCCTCATCAGTAGGAGGAGTGGGAGGAGGAGTTGGAGGTGGAGGAGCTGGAGGAGGAGGAGCACCAAGTGCTGCCAAGGAAGTGCAAGCTGGTAGAGGAAGAGTGCAAGGAGAGGAAATGTGCATGCCCAGAGGTGATTGACATGGACAAGGAGATGGAGGCAGAGGAGATCAAGACCAAGCCTCACAAGCAGCTGGTGGTGTGCCAGTACTCCACAGGCAACACCAAAGAGCAATGCAAGGAGGCCGCCAGACTACTTGCCCTGCCCAACCTGGAGCTAGGTATGTACACTTTGTGTGTTTTACTGTTCACCACACTGACAAGTTCCAAACTGATGTGCATTGGTTTTTATTTGTGGACTCTTTTCCCTGATGCACATTGGTTTTTTATTTGACCTGTGAGAACCATGTTCTCTAACAGTTTGTGTTGCTGACCTCAACCTTACTATTCAGAAACGAAAATTCATACGCTCCTGAATTTCTGATCACTTCAGTCCAACCCCGACATCATCAGCACCAGCCTTCAGGTGACCTGCAACGACCAAGCAATTTGCCAGCAGAAGGAGCAGCTTGATGGCTTTAGAACTGCACATTGATGTTTGGAACCATCTTTGGTACAACTCCTCTTTTCATTCTGGCAATGGCCATGAGTGCAGCTAAAACGCTTGAGGGTCATGCTGCACCAAAGCCCACCACTCTGCAGAAGTACTTGACTACCTTAAGGGCCCTGTTCCATGCTCCAGGAGTGGTGGAGTATGTTATTTCTACTCTAACTCTTCACCTTTGTTTTGAGTCCTTGCTAACTGTTCCCCTTTTCCAGTCTTATCAAGGAACTCAATTGCCTTGTTCCAGAGGGTCAGGTGTTCATCTCCCTTGACAACCTCAACTCTGGTGCCTTCAGGGAATTGAGTGCCAATGACATGATTGCTGTGCTTTGTCATTATAAGTGCTATCAACACCAAGCCCCTTCCAAGAGTATGTCCTTTCTTTTTAGTCTTTTGTTCTTCTCCCCACAAGTCTAACTACTTCCCTCTTGCCAGAGAACTTCTGGTTGCTAATCACCAACCACTGGAGCATGATCAAAAGGCAGATGGAGGCCTTTTGTCAGGCTGTTCATGCAGCCATGGAGGCTGACTGCTGCTGTGAAGATCCTGAGGAGCTTTGCCACATCTGGGACTGGATCTGTGTTGTGGAATACATTGTGCTGTGTGGTAAAAACATTGAGATTGAGCAGCCCCACAGCATCACCTCCAAAGTTGTTGACATGTTCCACAAGCACCCATTCCAGTTGAAACTTCTCAGTGATGAGGCAGAGGAGACCACACCTCGCCAGTTATGAGGGGAGATTGCATGTGCCACTGCAGCTTCTTGAGCAGAGGAGGCCTCCCTTGCCTCAATGTCCACAAGTGAACAGTGCTGGCATCTTTCTGTGTTGGCCAAGGGGAAAATGCTACAAATCAACTCCTTCCTGTTCCAATTCACACCCCATTACTTTCACTTACACCATTATTATCTGACTTCAGCCCACAGTACCCACTGCTGCTGAAGCTTCTGGCACCACTCCAACCACCCCAACCAGTATGTTTTCATTTTGCTGGTAAAGTTCCAAGCTCACCACATGCTTGTTCTTTACAGCTACCAAGAAATGTGGCAAGGGTAAGGCTGAAGAGGAAAAGTCACCATCTACCATCAAGCACAAGGCAGAGCTTGCTC